GAGGAGGAGGAGGAGGAGGCGGCGACGACGGCGGATCAGGGAACCGCGAGGGTGTCGGAGTCGACAAGCCGCGTAGTACGCACAGGAGCTACTACAGGCTACTCCTCTTCGTGCTGTACCTTCTAGCGTGGCCCTTGCTGTGCTCGACCAGTGCCTCGGGTCACCTCGCCTCGACCTTCGCGCAGAACCCGACCCTCGCGCACGCCAAGAACCCCGCGCAGCGTAACGCCACACCGTTGTACACCAACCTGTTTTCGTCGTCGACGGTCGTCGTGCACCAACACCAGCAACCGCAACAATATGTTCAGGGTAGCGATTACAATACAGACGACAGCGAGCGTCATCGTCATCACCAGGAGCAGCCAAAGCAGCAGCCGCAACAGCAGCGACAGCAGCAAGAACAGGCATCACAAGAGCCAAGGCAGCAGGAAAGGAAGGAGAAGCGGGAGCAGGTGGATCAAGAGTCCGAGGTTTGGGACCCTCATGAGGAATACATCTGGGAGGTGAACCAGCTGAATCCTTGGCTGTCGGCCTGCGACCTGGCGGGACCAGCGCCGGCCGATCTTCAGGGTAGCTGTGGTCCACCGGAGGTGCCGAAGAACTGCCCGCTGCCGTGCGCCACGACGTCGCGGGACGTTTTCCGCGAGGTAATCGACGGGTCGAGAGTCAGCGGCGACGCGAGCACGACGACGATGTCGTCGTCGGCGACCACGACGACGACCACGACGACGAGAACGACGTCGACGATGACGAGGACGACGATAAAGACGAAGACGAAGACGGGGGTCGAGAGCGGCGATCGACATGGAGCGTATACCGAGGAGGCGGGCGTACGGACGGCCCCGGAACAGTGCCTTTTTTATCTCGAGGAGTCGCACAAGAGGGACATCTGTCGGGACGATTTCGGCCGGGCCAGTACGCGAAGTTTTTTAACCCCAAGGGAGAATCGATATTGGTTCATGAGCGGGTTGCGTCTGCGGCATTGCTGCGAGCACGCGGTGGTCAACGCCCTGGCGCCCGGCAAGGGCGGCCCGCTCAACGACGTGCTAAACGGTGGCCTCAAGTGCGCCGATGCCCTGGACAAGCTGTTGCTCGTCGATGCCCTGGCCGCGAGGCTGCATTGCGAGTTCGAGGAGGTACTGGCGCGCTACGATTGCGCCCAGCCGTACTCCGTCATCCACAACTGCACCCATTGCAAGGTGAGTCAGACTTGTTCTTGCAGCGTAACCGGGCGTTCGTTTAGCAGAGCCCTCGAGCGTGATCCGCTCGAGCCGTTTCGTCAAAAGAGAGTGAGAGTGAGAGAGAGAGAGAGAGAACCGATCTAAGATGGAGTATCGAGAAATGGAACGATATTGGATAGATGGTCAAGCTGGATAGATAAATTTCTCGGAGAGGGAGCTCGCCCGGCTAGTGCTATTCGCAAAGATGAATGATTCATAAAGTTCTGAGAACATGGGCTTGGCGCGCAATTGGAAACCCACCGTCAAATTTTAATACTTTCGGCAAACTTGAGCGAAAAGGATGTAAGGATACTTTGGAAATTTGTTAGTTCCACGTGACTGATTCGCTCCGCGATTGTTACGCTCGAGGGCCTACAGACTTAAGTCCGTCGATTCGAGAAAAGCCGGCGGAGGAATAGCCAATGTGTATCTATATAATTCCGTTTTTGCGAACTTGTTAATCAAAATATTAATCGTTTCTATATTGTGGATATCAGCTTTATCTTCATTATGCGTCCAATCAAAACGTCTGAAGTTTCACTCCATTTTACGAACAATCTCCTGAATCTTCATAGAGATTCAGCGGAGCAAAAGCTGTTGCAAAACCTGCCAAATCGCTCATTGCGAAAGCGTATGTGTCGCTTTGAGTATTTCGCATTCACGTGACACGCCGGTTCATACTCGCACTTGCGTCGAGGTGCATAAAGTCCCGAAATTGGACCGATGCCATCCACGAAATAAACGGCTCACACGTTCGAGCGATAATTCGCGGACAATTAAGCGATCAAGACGTCGTGCGTGCGGTTGTATGTACGTCTGTCTGTGTATCAGATTGTGCGTTGCTCGAAACGCGAAGGAGTTTCGCGCGTTGCATCGCAGTTGGGAGATGCGAGCGAGGAGACGTTCGTCGGGAATTTTCATGGACTGGTTCCGGAGGTTTATCGTGCTCGCGTCTAACGCGGGGCGCACTGAATTTACGAGAAATTTATATTTCACCCTGAGAGCCACGACGTCTCGAATCTCTCTCTTTCTCTTTCTCTTTCTCTCTCTCTCTCTCTCTTGACGCGGCGGGGGTTCCACGAGGAAGTAAAGTGGACGGTCTCGCGACGAGGCGTTTTACGCCGTTTGGCGTTATTCAGCGAGCGCGTAAATTATGCGGAGCCGTATTACGTATTATAATCCAATATGATGCATCCCTCGAGTCTCCAGATTCGTATAACCGGGCGAAAAGATTCCGCGGGCTCTTCGAGGAGAGCCCTGAGGAGAGCTCTGCTGCCACTGCCTGCGCCGCAGCGAACGTTTCTTAACGCGTAAATCTTCGCCTGCTCTCGCGCGTGTACATCTTTGCAAACATAAATCTCGAAATATACGCGAACCGTCGGGACCGCGGCTTCTCGAAAACGCGGCATCTCACGAGCAGATCTCGGATACACGCGTATCTCTGAATTTTTCCTTCTCGCTTTGCCATTCTTTTTGAATTTCGTTGCGCGCCCGCGCCTTTGTGAATCTTAATTACCATAATCAGCGCGTTATCTTAACATCGTGTTGCACAGATAGACATATGCATTTTTCTTTTTTTCTTACCTTCTCTACTAAATACTTTTTTTTTCCTTTCATATATATCTCAGATTTTTACCTTCAGATGCTCCCATTGTCCAGGTAGATTTTCACGATTATCACGACATGGGACAATCGATATTATAAACTTTATGATTTTTCAACTACATTTATGTTGAAACAAGATATAATGTACTAAATTCATAATTACTTTTGCATCTTGTGATAATGTAAATTTTTTGTTATGTAATGCACGGCACCAAATTGATATATATTAAAAATAAATTTTAATAAAATTTACTAAAATTTTGTTCACAAAATTAGAAATAACAAATAATTCTTTTTTACTTTTGCATCTTGTGATAATGTAAATTTTTTGTTATGTAATGCACGGCACCAAATTGATATATATTAAAAATAAATTTTAATAAAATTTACTAAAATTTTGTTCACAAAATTAGAAATAACAAATAATTCTTTTTTACTTTTGCATCTTGTGATAATGTAAATTTTTTGTTATGTAATGCACGGCACCAAATTGATATATATTAAAAATAAATTTTAATAAAATTTACTAAAATTTTGTTCACAAAATTAGAAATAACAACTTTACTAATTGAAAAATTATAATAAACTTTTAGTAAATTTTAATAGCTTTAGTAAATTTATTGCAATAAAATTAAGTTTTGCTTTTAGTAAATTCAATAATTTAATTTTTAAAAAGTTGCAAATTTTTATATTACATTTTACATGACATATTGTCTTGAGAAAATTTTGATGATTTCTTTCGTATTTCTTTTTCTTATTCTTTTTTATATGAACATGAGTGCCACATGAAAAACTCATAAAGGATGCAACCCTTACTAGTAAAATTATTGTCAAATATATATACATCTTTCTACCTGGGTACTCGTCCATCTCTCGTACATGACAGTAGAACGTTCACGGCGCGACACGACGTGACATTTCTTAAGACTTCCTACCTGCGGGACCCTGGATTGATAACATCAAGAAAACGCATGGCAAAATTCTTTGCAGGCCATTTCCAAATTAAAAAAACATCTTTATTTGAACACATCAGATCGCTTGTGCATAATCGCTAAACGCATACCGAAAACTATTTTTTTCCCTTGACAGTCAATAATTAGTCATAAAATTAACGTGACATGCGATCTCCCCCTTTAACCTACCTTTCCTCACGATTTCGCGTTAATTTTAAAGCTATTTATTGGCTAATTTATTGACTCAGGAAAAAAGAATAATTTTTGGATAAATCTGAAATATTTTTTCAAACAAACATCTTATCTAAAAATGGCACGCAAGAATGTTTGCCATGCGTTTCTTCTGAGATCATCAGTCTAAGGGTATCAGTGGGACCAAGATCCTTAAGAAAGTGATCTTCTTTCGGGATCGGTCGCAAATTGCAAAATGGACTCAACCGGCCGCCTCTGTTCGACTCGACGACGGCGCGCGCGGCCTGTCGATAGATAGACCGGCCGGTCTACGACAGGCAGGACTAATTTCCAGATCGCGAGAATGGAAATCGTGGGCGTGCGACGCCACGCCGAGAGTAAGCACTTTGTCGCCGTTGTCGTCGAATGAGTTAACGAACAGGTGTTCCTCGTCCGGCCGATAACGCCGCTGCATAAATTGCCGTTGCGCGGTGATCGTCTACTTTCTCTCTCTCTCTGTCTGTCTTTCTCTCTCTCTCTCATTCAGCGTCAAAACTATTTACAACGAGAGAACGAGAGGAAGTCCCGTCTTCCTCCGTGCGCGACAGAGCAGACGAGTTCGCGCAACAACTCACAATGAGCGGCAATAGAAGGCCGCATTATGCAGTCGCGGCCGCCCGTACTGCTTCGTACTGAGAATCGTGTTTCATTCGCGAAACTGCGAATACCGTCCGGCGATGGCTCGTTATTGTGGCGGATCTGTATTTTTGCGCGATCGCAATCGCACGGGAATGGCCTATCAGTCCATGGTCCACGTGCATGGTCAGCCTCGACCAACTTGATTCGCTCCATCGTCTCGGACGTGACGCGACCGCAAGTTCGTTAGTCGCATAAAAACGCATGCGAGGGAGACAGAGGTAGATAAATCAATGCTTATAAACATTCTAAGGTTAAGAAACATCCACCTTAGTTAGATGTATAAAAAAATTATGAAGATAGAAAATTATGAACATTATTAGAGAAAGAGAGAGAGAAAGAATATATATAACCAAAAATAGAAATTAAGAATTGCTGTTAAACTAGAAGAAGAATAATGAAGTAAAGTAGAAAAGTAGAAATATAATAGACAAATTAATTTGTTATGCGCTCTGGAAAATAAGTTCCCCGCAAGCGCAGGAAAAAACAAAACTAATATAGAATGCAATTGTTATACAACTACAGAAATTCAGACTGTATCAGGCAAAAAGAAAGTAGAAAATAGGAAATAACGTACAACTATAAATAGATAACGTGATATAAATAGATAGAGACATAATAGATAAGTAGATAGATATAGATAGATTAATTTAACTCTTAAAAATCAATTTAGCTCTTAAAGAACTTAATCCTGAAAAAATGCGTATAAAAAACGCAACTAGTAAAAAATAGCACAAGTAGCAAGTAAAATTGCCGTTTAATTAATTTTAGGCCCATAAAACTTGAACTTTTTTATTTCATACAGAAAGATGTATGGACTATCCATTGGTAACAAAAACTCAAAGATCCTAATTTTGTGGGTTGGACCATTCTTATATAACTATAGCCAATTAGAATTTAGAATTAGAATATTGTTGCTATAAACGCAGTCGAATTTTGCAATTATGCTAAAAATGAAAAAGAAAAAAAAAACTAGGAAGAATAAAGAGAGAGGGATAGAAAGAAGAGAAGGGCTGTCAACAGTCACGTTGATAATGGCGTTAGATGAATCGTTCGGATTGTATAGTTCGACGATCGATTATCCGCGCGTGTACGATCGTACGACTCGCGTGCATTCGCTCTAATTCGTCCCTCCGAATTCCGACGTTCGCGCGTTGCATGCTGCCACGGGTATGATGCATCCCGAGTGCGTTCGGCTACAGTAAACGTACGATCCGCCATTTATTTAATTCGGTCTGTTTGTTGCGCGAGATCGAGACGCGAATTGATTTCCCCGTATGGAGAAACGTTATGTTGTTGTTGTTGTTGATGTTGCGATGCCTGGCATCGACAAACTGCACTGCGACGTGTGCAGAATGCACCTCGCGACAAACGAACGAGCTTCCTCACAATCAGCACTAATGAGCGTTTCTGGCGGAAAAGTGGCGTTCTTAAAAGCGAATTTAATTTATCGTCAACACTCCCGCCGCGCATGCCCCGCGCTGTTTCCTCTCCCTTCCGCTCCCCAGTCCCTCAACCCTATTCCATCTTCTTTGGCGAACGAGACGATGTTAT